CTGAGGTCTTAGTCTCAATTTACATGCACATATTTAAAAATATATATTAAAGACATTTTTACAGATGTTAGGCTCTTGCAGATTTTGCATTTTGCATACATGAATACGCTCACAAGATCAACATACAACACCTTTTTTTACTTCTATGCTTGTGTTTGAAATTCTTTCTTTCTTTAGGAATCCTAATTTTACACAAAAAAAAGTGTAGTCAAATAAGGTTATGAAATAAAAAAAAGCATGGTCAAAGATTCAATCAGTGATTGATTTTATTTCTTATTTTTAAAAAGCCCTGTTGGAGGGCGCTGATGTAGGAGTTTGTAGAGGATACTGTCTTTATTCCCCACTCCTTCCCCCTATGTCCTATCCCTCTACACCTTTCCTATCGCTATAAAGGCAAAAGCCCCAACATAATCATTTTTTTAAATCACTGTTGGAGCCTATTGTCAGTGTTAGTGTCTATGAGCTGCCAGCAGTCAGTAAAAATCTATTTATTATGCTCTATGTACATGTTTGAATAGAGACAATGCTGCCAAAGTATCCCCTCATAATGAGGTTTCAAAGAAAAAGAAAAAAAGTGTGTGTCACAGTAGGTGTTTTTTTTGTTTGTGTGTGCCTTTAGTGAATGTATTTTGCCATTTTTCAGTGTGTGTGTGTGTGTGTGTGTGTGTGTGTGTGTGTGTGCGTGTGTGTGTGTGTGTGATTTTTGTTGTTTTTTGTGTTTTATTTTTATTAGTGAGTGTGTGTTGGGTGTATTAGAGAGTAGAATCTACATATGAGGCTTCTTATAAAACTAAATAAAACTAAAACACAATTGAAAAAAACAACAATATATCTATAAACAGTTTATAATTTGAAATACAAATAGTAAAGATTGACCCCCCCCAAAAAAAACAACAAAAACTTGTAAAATGTAAGTTTAAAGCATAATGAGACAGATATTCAATTATTGAAGAAAAAAAACTAGTTTGGTGGAAACACAAAAACATGAACTCAATTATATTAATCCAAACGTTTTGTTTCTATCCTTCCTCCATGAATTATTATCTCAACAACCAATGTAAAGTGAAACAACGAGTATCAAGAAGTTTACCTCGACCATCGTCAACAATATCAACGATCTAAAAATCTCATATTTAGTCTAATCATATTCCAGCCACATGGTGTCTTCTTCTGAGGAACTATAACTTTGACTTTGATACTTTAAGCAAACTTTGCTGATTATATTTGTATCCTTTGAAGTATATAAGTTATTATAATTATGATCTAATACAAGTGTAATGCTGTATTTTGTGGTAATGAACTATATTCTTACATGAAGATGAGGGTGTCTCGTACATGTTTGATGTCCATGGTGACTGTAGTACAACCTTAGACACAGACTGAACACTGACAACTATGAAACATCACTTCAACTACAAACAAGATCACTCATTTCTGAACTCTGGTAACCTTAAAGGCAGAGGGCACCATTTTAAATATAGATAATAAATTATGTAAAGTACAAAATGAAAATAGAAATGAAGTTATGATTACTTAAATTTTTTAGGTTATCATAATTACCTGAGAAGAATAAAATAAAACTTCACAAAATGAAACCTCATCTTACAAAAACAAATATAACTAAACAATATGATGTATGCATGTCCTTTACTGTCGGGGGATGTTTCTCAACTTTTTTGCATTAGTATCAAACAGACACAGTCTTTGATTAGGAGTCATGTGAGAAAAAGATCCAGTTTTCTTTTTCAAAATCTTTTTTAAAGGGCATTTTATTTCAAGGTTTTTGAGTCATAGAAGTAGAAATAAGTGTAAATATGTATACCATGAGAGCAGCACAGTACTTAAATAAACACATGCAAGTTCTAACTTTCTAAAATTATCCACCTACATCATTAAAATCAACAAAGAAGGAGAAATGTGCCTCTCGTGGAAAACTCTGCCGTTGTTTATTTGAGCGTCTGGGTCAAATGAGGTTGTCTTTGCGGGCATTTCTCTTTGGTGCATTGCAGTTGGACATAAAGGCCACAAGGGGGCAGTGTCACATAAGGCGAGCTGGTGATGTGGTGCTTTGCCAAAAAATTATTGGACGCAGCCCAACATTTTATCAGAAGTGTAAAAAACACACACACACATGTGGGATATGTGATGAAGGTTTGAGTGAATGAAACAAAGCATATTTTAGGATTTGAGTCATCAGCACCTTCTGCGTTTTTTTTAAGCTTTGGGTTACTGCTCATATCTGTGAGACAGTGATGGTTCCCAAAGTGTGCATTAGTCATCTTCCCCAAAAAGGTGTGAAACCACATGTTTCTGAGTCTTAGGTTGCTATTGTTGCAGGCTGAAGAATGCAGAGCCCAGACTGAGGAAAGATCCAGATGCAACTGTGAAGCCATGAAGAGAGAGGCAAGAGTCACTTCGCTGGTAACCAAGGCAACGTACCTGCTCCTCACAACAGCATCATCCCTGAGCGCAGAAACAGAAATCTGTCTGATGTGAAGGAAGCAAGAGAGAGAGAGAGAGAGACCCACAGACACACAGCAGAGGCAGCGACCAGGCATGCATTATTACAGCTCATCACTCCAAAAAATACAGAGGAATATGTTCTCATTCAGCAGCTCGTTTCTCAAGATCCAACTTTACATCATTTCTAACAGTTTAACACGCAGAAACAGACAAACACACAAAGCATGGTGGGAATAACTCCCCTCATAAACAAGCCTTTAGCACAGCTTACCATTTGGCAGAAGCTACTCAAACTCTCTATGTGTGGGTGGACCTGAAATTCAATGAACGTAAAAAACACAAAGGTTACATCCATCCAGAACCCTCAAAACTCAGCTGGAAATTTCAACAAAACATTGTTGCAGCACTATAAGTTTTATTGTTGCAATTTTGAAACTTTCTCCCAGGAGTTATTGACTGCTGAACTTTAAATACTTCTAGCCCCCCCAGCGAGTAATTCCACTCAGACTAACAATTGCCTCCTGTGGCTTTCCATTTTAGAATTGAAACATTCTGGCGATACTAAGTTGTGTTTGTGAACAAGATGAACAATTGAAATTACCAGACAAATTAAATTGGATTAACGTCTTTAAGTATGTTGATTGTTCTTCCCTTTCAAGCGGTACCCCTCATCCTATACCAAACTCAACACAAAGAGGCCGGTGTTTCTGCAGACCTCAAGACGAAATCACTGTAAGAAACCTTGTTATAGCGATATGTGATGAAGTACTTTATTAAAGCTATATTAGAAGTGATGTCATATGTTAAAATGAAAAAAATTAGAAAAATCATCGCTAATTTTGCATGTTGTTTAAACAATAATGTGAAACAAATGCATGTCCACTACACTAAACTAAATCAAGAACTGTTTTGTCAAATAAGATACAATTCTCAGTCTGTTCATCTCACTTCAGTCTTTTTATTTGTATTTCAGTCTAATTGAACTGAATGAATTCTTAACAATGCAACTTGTTCAAAATGAATTGTGCAACCCCTTCAACAGGTAAAAATTTTAAAAAGCATATCTGAAATATCATATTTCAAATATGGATACTTGGCCGCCATGAGACGATATAATATAACACACAAAATATTGCGATACTATACTGTATTAATTTTTTACTCCACCTCTAGAAAAAAGTCAGCTTGAAGGATGCACCTATGTGATGTGCTAAAAAGGAGTTCACCCAGTCTACAGAGGAATGACCAACAAGAATAAAATGACCAGCGTGTACCTTTAGACATTGACGCATTTCTAAAAAAATTTAACTAATCTTTTGTTTGAAGTTTGGAAATTAATTTATTTCCAGTAGTAGCAGTTTTCAACAGCAACAAAAGACAAAAAATTCTGACATTTTTGGATATAAAACATTTTTAAAGTGATGCTCTCAGAGACCGTCTCTGTTACATTGATTCATATTTAGCATAAAGACAAGAGATGGAATTTGTTTGATGCAGTAGCACAGCAATATGTAATATTTTACAACGGAGGCAAACTATGTCTACAGCGAGAGCACAAGTCAAAGACACCTAACAACCGACAACTTGATTAATATCAACAGACAACTTTTATTTCTAAGTTCATCTAGTTCCTGGTCCTGCAAGAATATAATTAGTATAATATTTAGCATTATGATGATGCTGACCAGAGCACGTTGTACGCATGAAAGGCCAATAGAAGTCCAGGGTCTGCAACTGTAGAGGACAAACATCCCTGTAAACTTTAGATGTATATATCCCCTTATCAATTCATGAGACACGTTAACTGCAATATGTGGATTACACTAGAAACAAAACATGCATCATATACAAAGAAACGTGTATTATTGCTGGAGTTATTGAAACAAATCTCATGCTCAGCCCTTCATATTGTAGCGGAGCAGCGGCGTTCCAGTATTCAACCCTGGTCAGGGTCAAGAGAACGGGCCTGCAGATAAAAGACTCATTCAGACCAAATAACAGGCTTCTCCTTTTAATAAATGTTGTGTAACGAAGGCTGGATACTTGGCATTGGGAAAATTCAGCTATGTATTTTTGTAGACTTAAAAAACAGTATTTGTACCTATGTTTAAAAAAAAAAAACAGTCATTGAGAATATATTATAACAGCATGTAAAGCTGTAAAGATATAATTCCTTTGCTGCCTGTATCATGCTGCCAGGTGAAACAAAGGCAGGCTAGTCTCACTTAGAAGCATAACCTCTGCCAATCTGTTCAGTGAGATACATTAAATATGATGGTGTTACCTTTTTGGTCTTCAGGGACCCAAACTGAATTCCATGTTTGCATCAAACCTGAGGGCCTCTTTTTTTTTTTTGTTTTCTTACCAGTGCTAACTCAACCAAGCCTGCTACCGGAGGCGGGGTACCTCTATGCTAAAACGTGTTCCCGACGAGCAGCTCAGGAAACGAATAGAAAGGGAAGTAGTTCTTCAAATCAGCCAATGGGGAAGGCGGGGGTGGTCGCGCTGCTCCTCTCAGGGCCCCCCCTGTGGGCGGTGCTTGTCCTGGAGGAACCACCCCTTCAAGGCCGCGGGGTTTGGTTGCACACAGGCTGCAGTTTCAGTTTGTTTTATTCACCATTTTGAGTAGCTGAAGGTAAAAAAAAAAAATTAAGAATATTTGCTTGAGGAGGAAAGGTCGCTGCCCTACTTTTATTTTCCACGCACCAGCTCGGACGGCGGACTTGTGCGTCAACCCTAGCTCCCTTCGGTGCTTTGCAGAGCGGGAATCTATATTTCTTTTTTTTTTTTTTTCCCCTGTGCTTTCTCTTCTTCCCCCCCCCCCCTTCCCCTCCTCCTTTTTCTTACATCCGTAACCTCTACAGTATTCCTGCAAAATGTCAAGACCAGTGAGGTAGGTGTGCTAATTCTGTCCACTGCTTTGCGTAAGTTAATAACGACGTGCTGGCAGCCATTGCAAACAACATGCACGGCTCGACCATGCTGTTTTTTTTTTTTATGAGCTGGGGATGTGTTTATTTCATGAAAGAATAATGGGAGAGCGTGTGTGTGTGCGTGTGTGTGTCCCCTCTTGGCGTGTGCACCCTCTTTCTTTCTAACATGGATCCCCTGCTCGCCATGTCTTGTGGAGATACAGCCCGCCGCTTGTGTCGTGTCTCTCCTTTGCTTTTTTTTTTTTTTCTCTCCAAAGGATCCATGATGTGCATTGTTGGTCTGCTATGTAGGCCAAGTGGAAAACAAAATTAGGCGGTGTGCTTTAAACAGCTGTGTTTAACCGGCTCACTCAAAAGGGGGCTTTACTAGGGCCTTTTTTTTTTTTAATATAATATTTTCCCTCTCTCGCTGAGAATGAGAATATGGCTACCCCATTCAAACAGGAGAGGCTCTAAAAACGATACAACCCCCCACCACCAAAAAAAAAAAAGGAGGTGGTGTCGGCCTCCTCCGGATTTGATCTTGTTTCCGCGCAGACTAGGTTATGTCGCGGATGTAGTCGTCTTTGTGTTGCGTTTTAAATCCCGATTTAAACATGCCATTTTTGCGATTTACGAACGCAAGTCGTGTATTTCTTGGGAGATATTGTCGCTGGGGGAAGTAATTGAACGCGGATATCTACATTTTTTAAGCGCTGGTCGTAAATTAACACTGCTGGCTGATGTCACAGGAGGGCGGAGTACTACATAAAGTTACCACACCCCCCTTCAATGTTGGATTCCCACTTTGATTATAATGCAGGAGATATCTGCAGGCACTTTTTATTTTTTATTTTTTTTAAAATTCAAATTAAGTCGTCCAACAAACTTGATTAGAAGTCAAGGCGATCAATCAAACATTTCACAGAGCTTTATTATTATTATTATTATTATTATTTATTTTTTATTTTTTAAATAAATTGAGGATATTTAATTTATTTAAAATTGTCGAGGAGGTAAGAAATAAGATAAAAATCAATGTGTAAAATTATATTTAAAAAATAAAAAATATAATATAATTTTGATAGGGCTGTGCAATTAATCAAGATTTTAAATTAACTTCCTGACCATGAAACAAGGTGATCATGATGAATAGTATGCAGCATGTTACGCTTCTTTTGTCCATAGGCTTAGCCATGTGTTTTAAAGTATTTATTGTTATATTTTGGCCAAATTATTAGATCAACAGTACCTAAAAGTAACAGTTAGCCTAATTTATTTTAATTAATTAATTATATGTATATATTTATATTTTTCACTTATTTATTTTCAATTATTGATTGTTTTTCAGTGTTGAAATTGTGTAAAATAGTTTAAGTTTGATTAATGCATGTATTCCAGATTTTGTCAAGTCAACAAGTAATTGTGTTTTTAATAATCCTGATCTCAAAATAATCTTGATAATCATTTTTGCCATAACGAGTAATCCTAGTTGTTGATACTTTTTGGACCTCCCACCAAATATATAAAGCTAACTCACTTATTTTTTTTAAAAAGCTGGTCAAGCACAGTGCAAGCCATTTGCATAAATTATACTATTAAACAACATTTTCATTGTTGTGATGCTAGCTTGCAATGAGAGCACGGTCAGAGTGTGCACAGGATGGTGTTAGTGAGCAATCCTGTTAACATTGATGAATCTTCTCGGCTGAGGTTAGGAACATTACGGCTTCTAGACACTGCTAACATGCTGTGTCCACCAACTAGAATTACAGAAATACTTATTTCTAACATTAAAATGGCTTTGTTCAGTCTTTTTCTTGGTGTCACTATCTTTATTGGCCGTGCATTGCTAGAACAGATAGCAGTGTGTTATCTGCTTAGCTATTTAATAATCACGGGTAAGGATAAACATGCCTCTGTATGCTTACATCAATCTGGGTGATAAAACCTGAAGAAGCAGTAGGTTACTAGGCCAGGCAGCTAGTTGAAACAACCAATTCTCATTGGGTAGTGACTCGACAAAGCTTCTCTGTATGCCACAGTAGCTTTGTCCTAATTCAGGGCTAGCATTCTTAGAAGGAACCGAAATGAGACCGTCTTTTCCTGTTTGAGTCACCACCTGTTCCTGAACTTCTCTTTCATCACTTTGTTTCTGTTACCTAGCAACGTTGACAGCTGCACCTGAACTAGTTAACATAACCAACTTGACCTATTTTTTTTCAAAAGAGAGTATAAAGTTTTATGCCTCTTCGTATTTCAATATTTATATCGCTAGCTTTTACGACTGAGGTGACACAGTTTACTTGCAATTTAAAAGTATTTGTCAGGCGTTTGAAAATCAATTCATCTTGTTGTACAGTATGTTGGGCCCACAAAGGGTACATTCTTGGTTGCCCAGGACAGCGTTTGATGTACTGCTGTGACGCAATCAGTCTTCAAATGAGCCGTTTGCAGGACGTAGTCCCTGAAATGAGACCTGGCTAATTTCACAACTACCCATATTTGAAAGACTGTTGTGATTGGCCTCACTGTAATTAGGCCAGACTGAGACATCTCAAGAGGAGGGAGCAGAGCTGGTCTGCCAGAGCTAATGAATGATGGAGCTCCCAATCCCAGACGCCATCTGCTATGGTCTCACAATATTATAGCCTCTGGGCGCGGACGCCAACTTTTTGGGGACTTCTTGAAAGTTCTCCCGGTAACAGACTTTGGGCCGTGTCTTACTTTATCGTACTCTGCCTTGTTTAACCTCCTACAAGCAACCTGAGGAGCAAGCATGGAGTTGTTGGGCAGTTCATAGGGATCATGTAGAGCTAAATGGATGTTTACCTGCATGTTGATGATCCAAGCTAAAGGAATACAGATGGATTGAAAAGGCATGTGAACGGGATCTGACCGTTTTCTGCCTGCTCGGAATAGTGACCGGCCGGGCGTCGTAAGTATAGCCAATTTTTTGTGGCGATCTCAGACTCACACATGCAGGTTTGACATACAGGAGGATAAATATTCCTTTAATATAATTTGGTTACAGAGGGACACTTCAATGATAAAACATCAGTGTATAGGTGATTTATTGCAAAGTTTGACCTGATGTGTGAGAAGCATCTCTTTACAGGACTTATTAAAGATAAATATTGATAATTAAAGATATAAACATGAGGGAAACTGCAAACACAGATATTCACCAAGGCAGAGAGAAAAGAGGCAGAAAGGTTAGAGTCTGTATTCTTCAGGAGTCGGGGGAGGGAATTCAGCGGAAGAGAAAGAAGCAGTAAACTTCTGTTTCTATAATTTGATTTATTAAAGAGTTAAATTAAAAACCTTGCACTGATGAGGGGAAATGATGGCTGTTTGAATCTTTCTAAAATGTGAAGAGCAATGAAAGCCAGAATGTTTTATTTCAGAAGATAATTGAATTCCCTTTTTTGTTTTACTTTATTAAGACACTTCCATAAGGTCAGAAAATTAAAGGAAAATAAAGTTAATAAAGGGTTTTACACTGAAAATGTTCTAGTGGAGATTAATTTGAGTAAGAATGAGAGATGCTCATGTAACCTGGAGCAGTTTTTAAGATTAATTCGTAATGCACAGTTATTTATCAGCCAGTGTTTTATTTCGAATAAACATTAATTTCCTTAACAGAGAAGCGCCGAAGATTAATTTGTTTTTTCTGTTAATTAAAGTGATTTTAAAAAACAGAAATCTGTAGCGGCCAGAAATCCGAATGGTCAAAGAAAATGCCATCGGTGCATCTCTAATCCCAGCTGACAAACTAAAGCCGTTTTCACATATGCGCTCCGGATAATATCTAGATATTTACAGGAGGAACACTCCGGAGATTCTCCCGACCTAGTCGTTCACATATGCTCCTCACAGCGGGGGACTATCCCTGTCAGATGGGGAGGGGGGATCGGGGGATTACCTGAGGTAAGACGTGACGTAAATAAACAACGCGGAAGTAGCGGCCGAAGCAACAGAGTCCGCTACACGATGCTATAACGAGAATATTTGCCTTTATATTAATGCTATGTGTAATCCTATTGAATGACAACATCCACAAAAGAGAGGAGAACAACATACTGACGAACAGAAAACATAATGCAGCCGTTTAATTACGTGCACGGAGATCGTAGAGGTCGCGTGCAGACACTTTCAGCAGTCACTGTATATAAACGTCACTCGGGTCCCATTGGCTCGAGGTGAATTCTCCGGAGTATATGCTGCCGCGTTCAGACATCAGCTCACTCGAACTTTCTGCGGATAAAATACTAGAGGTCTGGCCGGAGAAACTCCTAAACGCTTAAAGAACCTCCGGGTAGCCAATTCTCCGGAGTTATTCAGGAGATTTCCGTATGTGTGAAAAGGGTTTAGTAGTGAGAGAGATACTACTTGGAACACAAACTAATACCACAGCCACCTTCCCATAAAATCTGTTAAAGAGCTTGTGAAGCTCCTCCGTGTGTGTGCTGATGTTGGTTGCAATGGAAGTTTGGAGTTCTGTAGTGACTGATGATACAGTTTTATCGACGATTTTATAACCTACATTACTTGCCAACACTTCAACACTCAGCCGAACTGTGAATTTGCGCCTCTGGGGGCTTTCTCTTCACAATCATAGCTCTTACAGTCGACCGGAGCATTCTGGTCGGGCAGATCAGCACATTTCATATACGTTAGTTATTGGCTGACATTGCTCCAACAGCTGCTGACGGCTGACCCGGACGCCATCAGTCACGGGGGGGAACATAATTATGATACTACATGGATACTCTATTCAAGAAAACTCTTGTGTACATGACATCAAAATATTTCTTTAGATAAACCTGATATTAAAGTGGCAGCAGTCTACCTCTGTTTTGTTGCGTGCATGGTTGTTAATTTGGGCACATTTTTGATTTGGCTAATAATAAATGCAAGCATAACAAACACAGCAGTATGTAATCGTTTGAGGGCTACTCTTAAAACAAACACTAACTTGATTCATACTGTTTGCTGTATGTGGCCTCTCTGCTCTGCACCTGCAATTCTTTATGCTGTTCAGCTTATTTCTTGCTTTTGTCCCTCGTACATAAACAACACAAGACAGGTAGCTTTTTTTCTCTAATAAAAGAGAGGCAACACAAAGGGAGCAAAAGAAACCTGTACTTCACTCTTTGGCACGCTTCCTCGAAAAACAAACCAGCCACATGACCGTCCATTCATGAAAATGAATCGCACAATCCTCCGCGCTTTAAGAATCTATTTCGGTGTTTGTAAAACATCACAGAAAGTCATAATCGCGCAATTTTTTTTAACAAAGCGTGCTAAACTTTGTAATATATTCATCCTCCCTATGTGATGAACTGTATCAACACACTTTGTTTTCCATATATTAGTAACTCATTAGAGTGGAGCTGGTTACAAAGTGAATATGTCACAGTTGATTTGTGAATGTGTGGAGAAAGAAGTGTGCATGTAGTTGGCTGCATTTGAGCAGATGTGGTGTTTATTACTGTGGTGAGTGTTTGCATGTGTGCCTGTTTTCATCCAATCACCAGTAAAAGAACTGGTGACTCTAAAAATATCGTGAAAAAGTTCCTTTTTTTTTAACCTGTAATTTAACCATAAAAGTTCAACTTTCATGTATTCTAGATTAATTTCACATTACCTGTAAGTGAAATATTTCAAGCCTCTTTATGCTTTTCATCTTGATGATAACGGTTCATAGGTCATGGAAATCAAAAATCCAGTATCTCAAATTATTAGAATATTACATAAGATAAACCAAAAAGGATCTGAAACAGAAATGTCGACTTTCTGGGTTTAGTTTGGTTTAGGTTATTCATTTATTTGAATCAGGGGCCGTGTACAAAAAAAAAATACACAGGTCTCAGAAGAGAAAAGATGCTTTATAACGGATTAAGCTAACTAGCTAATTCCCATCTGGGACCTTCTGAGAAGTATGTACCTTTTGCACTCATTGCTTGGTCGTGGCTCCTTTGGCACAAACTACTGTATGAATACAGTGTAGCATGGAGGCAATCAGCCTGTGGCACTGCTGAGGTGTTGCTTTGATCACAGCCTTCAGCTTGTCTTAATTGTTTGGTCTGATGACTCTTATCTTCCTCTTAACAATACCCCATAAATTCTCTTTGGGGTTTAGGTCAGAGATCCAGTGTGAAGTCTCCACAGTCAGTGATTTGGGGGGGGGGGTGACATGTCATCTGCTGCTGTTGGTCAAATGTATTTTGTCAAGTCAACGCAGCTGTCTACCAGGAGATTTTAGAGCACTTCATGCTTCAGTCTGCTCACAAGCTTCTTGATTTCCTCTTCCAGCGGGACTTGGTCCCTGCCGCCCACAGTGCCAAAACTAGTAGTAACTGGTTTGCTGACCATTGTATTACTGTGCTTGATTGGCCAGCCAATTTGCCTGACCTGAATTGTCAAGAGGTAGATGAGAGACCCAACAATACGGACGAGCTGGATGCCGCTATCAAAGCAACTTGGACTCCGTAACTCCTCAGCAGTGCCACAGGCTGGTCGCCTCCACGCATGCGACATTGGCAGTAATGCAGTCATTCTTGCAAGACCAAGTATTGAGGAAGATACTTTTCAGAAGGGTACACATTAATATATAAATCTTTGTTCTAATATTTGAGATGCTGAGCTGTAAGACATTAAAAAAAATTTTTTTTTAAAAAAGCTGGAAATGTTTGGCCTTACTTGTAATGAGATGCAACTGTATACGACACTGTTACTCCTCCCCCTCACTTCCTGTTCTCACCACACAACAGATTCACTCCCAACAATATTCATCTGGTCAAGGATCTACTTTCCTTGAAAAAGATTTTTGGTGGCCTCGGCTTTTTAAAGTCATCACTGCATGAGCTACCAGTGTGCCAAATGAGTCATGTCAGAGTACTTTTTTTTGCATTGTAGATCGCTATTCACTCGCGTAAATTGAAAGAGGGTTTTCTGTGTTTTAATCTGCATCAATAGTGCTTCTACAGGTGTGTGTCACCTGATCTCATGTTTGCTGCTGTCACCTGAAGCTTTTTCATTCACTTTGCCAAATTACCCCTGGAAACTGTAGAAGGTGGACCAGTGTCCAGTTCAGTGCCCCCCAACGGGAGACAGTCTGTGGCCTCTCAAACCAAATAACCTAATTCAGACGTAAACCATCTTTGTTGTCAACCTCTATGCCTCCAGCACCTTTGAAATGCCTTAAATCTGATGCAGACAGAGAAGTGTCTTACTTGTGTGTGTGTGTGTGTGAGTGTTATCTGATGCGATCTGTGTGTAATTTCTTCACAGGAACAGGAAGGTGGTGAACTACTCACAATTCAACGAGTCCGATGCAGGTAAGAGAGGCTACAGAGGCTTCCCAGTATTTGGCAGTGAAGAAGGGCCATCTGTATAAAATTACAGCTGCTTTGATATGATACAAGATTTTTATTTTGAGGAGGAATCCATGGATAGTTGTCTCTGGTTATGAATACTGAAAGGCTAAATCTACAAATAAACGGTAGCCTAGTAGCAAATGCGTCCAATGTACGGATGCTATAGTCCTCCAAGCAGGTAGCCCGAGTCCAAATCGGACCAAATGGCTCCCCCCCCCCCATGTCATTCCCAAATTCCTCTCCTCGGTTATATTCTATCCACTGTCCTATCTCTAAATAAAGCCATGAAACCCCCCCAATATACACCTTAAAAGATCTAGCCAAGAGACTTGACTCGGGCGTGAATGTAATGCCGACAGCAGATAAGAAACTGTCCTTGTATGTGGTAGCATGTGTGTCCAAAACTAACGGCCTGCCCTTTCCCTGTAGATGAGGAGTACGGTGACAGTAAGCCTAAGAAGGTGCGCGCCACAGCCCCTCGTGAGCCCAAGCACAAGCGCTCAAAGAACTCACAGGATGACAGGTAATGTTTTGTATGTTTGGTGTCCTGACCTTCTTTATGAGTTGGGTAGCCTAGGGGGTCCTCCTCTTGAAACCACGACACATGTACAGTTGTCAGATATAGAAATAAATCTGATGTGTCACCATGCAGCGAGAGAGGGAGAATTTGGCTCTGAGGTTTGAATAAAACAAAACACACAGAAAGAGTTACGCTGAGTGTTCTGGGAGATTTAAACAAAAAAAGACCACATAGAAAACCTACAGTGGTCGACATAAACATTCATGGACAGCAGTGAAAGTTGATATTGAGTAAAAAATGAGCTAGCGTTAGCTCAGTACAGTCACAGAGCAGCTAACAGAAGATGTGGAATGATAGCAGTGCTCTGTGTGTGTGATGGTTTAATATTCCCTCAAGTGAAGTACTGTGGACTCATGTCAGGCTGTGGCTGATGCTTCCCTTATCTTACACAGATCATACATAAAGATGAGGTACATGTTTAAAGAGAGTAAGCTGCTTTGGGGTCCAGGTTTGTCTTTTTGGAAATCTTTTACGTCTAATCTGTTTGTAAAAAAACAATCGAGAGAAAAGAGATGTGTGTAAGAGCAGGAGGAGCGAGTGTGTGTGTGTGTTTTTGTGGAGCGAGGGAGAGAGAAAGCGTGAGCTGACACGATACTGATCTAAGGTCTGTGTGGCGTCATGATATTAATAACCTTGTAAGGCTAAGTCTTCATTTTCATAAAAAAGGAAAATAAATGCAGTTGAGTTGGTTAAATCTGTATCTCCTCCTCTGCTAAAATCTAAAGTAGTGCGGTAATAAGTTCCATGTGAGGGTTTTTATGGGCTATTTTACACCTGCATTAATATGCATGTTTACTGCTTTCGATGTTAAAGGTGTTACAAGTGTTAATACGTTTAGAAAAAAATCAAATACAACCTGTTGCCTTGATATCAAATTCTGATTCCTTAAGAAGAGAGAAATCGCTTTGACTTGAAGTAAGGATTCAATTTAAGGACTTTTAGAGCGCACTCCCACTAGGCAATCTGTACTGTGCCCATGCACGCTTCACCCTCAAAGTCCAGTTCATTTGACCAGTTTGAGTGCTCGATCCATGCTCAAGCATGCTACAATTCCTTGGCCCTGGCACGATTGTAAGGTGTGCCACGGCCTGGTACAGTTCATGCCCAATCACAAGCATGGGTACCAATCACTTGATGATCACTTAAGGCCATGCATGTGTTGTATTACGATGTTATTTAGGCTACAAGAGGTGCTCAGGCCCGGTTAGTCCTGGAGCGGTGTGAGTGCAGTCCAGCTGGGGATGGGGAGGGGGCCAATTGGGGTTAAGCGCGGTACAGAGAAGCTGAGCCTAGTGTGAGTGCGCCCTTACAGACTAAAACTAAACAAGAAGGTTTTGATTTGTGGTCCACTAAATCTATAAATGGTTAACATTTCTATAATGTCTCGAAAACTCAACTCATGTTTGTTTAAAGACTGACTCTTAAATAGCGGCCAAAATGAACCCTGGTCTTTAGAAAATGTATATTTTTCTTCTCAGGACCCAGAATTCTGCACTGATTTTCAGGCCCAAGCAGATCAAACACCGTTAACAGCTGGATGTAGAACTGCAGGTGCAAACAGAGGTTAGGCTCAGGTAGAATGCAGCCTCTACGGTAGAGGGAAGAGGAAATGGGTAGTTGATCAAATACATCGTAGGATGGTAGACAGCCAGGTGTGCTATAGCAGTGTGTCAGGCAGAGCAGGGGGAAAGCTGCAAGAGTGTCGAGAAAAGAGAAACTCAGCTGGTTGGAACTGTGGGGGAGGGAGAAGAACTGCAGTAAAACATCCGCAGGTGCACCTAGTGATTTACTCCTTTTCTAATATCTAGTAGGGGTTCTCTGTGTGCCTGGGCTGGCATACTTAGTTTCATTCATGGTTCCTCTTTATATTTGAAGATACCAAGCTATTAACTTATTTTTATATACTAAACATTTCCTGTTGGTGTCACTGTTTGTGGCAATAACAAGTTTTTGTTTTCATACTATATATAATATTCTATACCACTTGGCGTGTCGACGTCTTTAAAAAAAAAAAAAAAGATGGTAACATGCTGTAACTAAGATATTACATTATGCTAATGAAACGAGTTACTCCCAATGTTGCAGCGCGGGCCAGAGAGAGACACAGGCAGAACATTTGCGTATGGACAGAGGTGCAGAAGCAAAATGAAAAAGGGGACATTTAATCATGTTAACTCATGCTGCTCGGTAGAACTCTGAGGTTTATCTGAGATGCTTATGAAATCCACTGTGAACAGAGTCAGGGTGACGGCTGTCTCATAGAAATGTTCCCTCCACAGGATGAACATGCACTCCGAGCTCTGTAAACTATATCTTAATTTCTTTGACATTTCTTGGTAGGTTTCCCCCGTGCCTGCGGCCTTTCTGCTCTCCGCGGAAACCTTGGTGCCTTTTGATTATGACGCAGCGTAGCCACCAAATCAGCACAGTGTCATAATTGCAATTAGAAAAAAACCAAAATCACTGGGTGCTGTCCTCAGAAAACAGTGTTGCATTCATGAAAACAACTGGTAGACCTTGTCTAGAGATGAGGATGGTACGAAATGTGATAGAGGCAAAACCCTGCTATTACACCAGTTAGTCATTCACAATGTGTTGTTCTGTATGAGAAAGACGAGGTGTGTACCTGGGACACATGGCCGAGCGATTTAGAGCATTCTGTCAGATGTTAATGCATAAAATTTGTAGGAAACTTGCTTGGCAACATCACTGGTTTTAAAGGGGGAAAAAAATGCAACAGTCAAAGAGAGGGCCACAAAAAGGAATATATGAAACAGAAAATAATTTGGACAGTTCCTCATCAAAGGCATAGATCTTGTTGCATGCAGGGCTAACATCTCAGTAGATCAATTGGGTGCTTGTTCATTCTGGGAAGGTCACAGAAATGTTCAAAGGAGTCAAGTAATTGCAATATTTTGGATACAGTCACTTTTGTCTTCAATTGACTGAGTTCTTGGATATTTTCGGGGCCTGACACACTGCCTCATGGTCATGCATACTTTAATCATGTCCTACTGTTGACAGTCTGTAAAAGGAGTTATATACTCTGGTGTAATAGCAGCAAATTAACCATCTATCTTATTGTGTATCAGTTTGACTCATGCTGTATTTGAGTGTATTTATTGATGTTGACTTGCTGAGCAACATTGGTTTTTCGTGTTGTATCCAAAGAACTCAAGTGCTAGAATGATTCTTCTGGTTAACGACTTAATGTGCATTAAAGTCGAGCCTGATTGTGCATAACCAGGTCAGATTTGTGACCTGAGCAACGGGTGATTAAGGGTTAATCTCATCGGGCTTCCATCGCACCCAGATTTGATCCAGATGGAGACACTTAATATGACAAGTGCAAATGGGGACTGAGAAGCAGCTTATGGTCAGCAGCACATGCAGATTCAATCAATCATTAAAGGCAACCATGGTTTAGGGTCAGGAGAAAGTTTGCTTTTTACATCTTTTATCCATCACATAATAAATAATAGAGGAGTGACCTGTACACAAGTGTGAGGGTCCAATCTGAGTGAATTAACTATGTCGAAATCACTTTAAATTCATCTTTGGAAAATTGGAGTTATAACAAATTAGTTCCTTTTTTTTTTTTCTGAGTTTTTTGTGAAAATGTTTTACTCAAGGTTCACATCCTTTTTTCTTTTTTTTTTTTGCTTTCTGAGGATTAATATATCTGTGATTTTGTTCACGTTCCCTTTGCTAATGATTGCCCTTGTGTTTGTTTCAGTGAGGAGTCTGATGACAAGCCAACAAAACCCAAAAATGATTCAGCAGGTAAGTCAGCCTACGTCTGATCCAGAGTGTCTTCGCTTCCTTGTGTGAACATGAGTGATTTGATGTGTGGTGACTGAGCGCTGGAGAGCAGGCTCGCTGACTTCCCTCTGTATCGCTGCTGCAGATGACTTTGGCAGCGAGGAAGAGGACAATGACTTTGGAGAGGAGGAAGAAGAAGATGGAGGAAGTGACTATGAAGAGAAAAGAGGGAAGAAAGCAAAGAAGGCCAAGGTGGAGAAGCCCAGCAAGAGGGGGCCCAAAAGAAAACGGGCTGCAGGTAACATAGCATCTCTGAAATGTAATAATGATCTTTATTTCATAAGTACATAGCTGTCCATCAGGAGTAAAGATGACAAAACACAGGTGAATTAATGCGTGTCACATCTCAGTTATATTTGACGTATGAGCCCTAAATGATGCTTAGCTGTGAGAATTTGATCCATTTCATAAAGCAAATGTGTAAGTCTAGTTTTCTGTAGTTTTATTTCATAAATATGGATTAAAATGGCGTACCATTTAAGATAATGCTAACTGTAGCTTAACAGACTGAGAGAACAGTAAGGTGATGATTATTAACGTGTGAAGTGTTTAATAGAGGTGGGAAAAATGTATTTGTTAAAATCTAGATTCTTCTCTTCTGAGATTTTGAATAGATTCTTAACTTTCTAATTTGTTTTTTTTTGGGGGGGGTAATCAGTAACTCCTTGCTAATGCTAAGGCTAGCTCTTTCACACAGTAGAATTTCAAATGGAGCAGCAAGAAATTCAGCCAGTCTCACAGATAAATGGAGTAGATCCTGAAGTAAGTGCTAATTCAAAAATGGACTTTGAATCATGAATCCAGGATCATTTTCAATCGACTCAAATAATGAGACATCCAAAGATTCCCAGCCCTAGTGTTTACAGATGTTTGTAAAGTAACACCATGTAAAGCATAGTGATCTTCATGGATCGTCATCTTGTGATTCACAAGCCTCTACCATAGCAACCAGACAGCCAGGATTGTGACATAACAAAGTGTATCCACCCTCTCATCCCAATAAGGTCTGTTCTGGTTACGGAAAAAAACCAAGATGGCAACAGCCATGATGCCCAACTTGAGGTTTAAAAGTAGTTTCTTGGCTCAGTGGTAGTTAGGACTTGCTGAAGGCTATAAGCTTCAAATTAGAGGTAATATTAGATAAAAGTGAGCTTCCTCTGCGTCCTCAGCCCTGCTTGAGACCAGCATATTGAGTAAAGTTAAAGTTGCTTATAATTCTGTTGGTAGGAATTGAAATCCATGCATTTGCCAGCTCCAATTTGCACCGTTGCCAAACAAAGATTTTAGATTGTGAAATGATATTTCAAAAGTCTGCTTTACAGTCTGCTACACATTGTCCTAAAATAAGATGAAATTAAAATCTTGGAGAATCCTCGCCGGATATGCATTTTACAACGATATTCTTAAAAAAAAAAAAAAAACAGACTACTCATCCTTTAAAATTAACAAGACAACAGGAAAATATCGTATATTTTATGTTTGAGCTCATCACTGAGAAAAAACAGTGAGTTGTTTGTATTCATTCAAACTGTACCAGTGTTCACATGTACATTTAAAAACGCCTTAAAGCTGAGTTGTTGATCGGTTGCTCTGCGTGTACTTTGTCTGTCACGCTCTTTATTTATTCCTCTCACATCTCCAGCTGATTGTGACTGATTGAATTGTTTTCTCCAACGTTCCCTTTAAAGTGTGACATGGGGCTTTGATTTATCCCTGCGTTAATCATTTTGGATTGATAAGCCCGATCAATCAATCACTGTCATCTGCTGAGCTGAGTGATAGATGTTGACGGCATGCCATCTTAATGATGGTCCTAACTATATCCTCATTCAATATGCGTCTTCTCTTTGTATTCATTGAAGGTTTTTTTTAAAGCAAGAGTATCTAAATTAAAATAAATAATAATGTGGCTGATTTATTCTGTCACCATAATTGTCTTTATATTTCAGCCTCATAAGCTTTCAAATGAATCATTAACCTCTTCAAATAAATCCAACAGCTTTATTTTCTTTACACAGACAAAGTGTAGTTTCCATTCAAAGCCTTTGTAATCCATTTCTGCCTTTAGGAAGCGAGAATGCATACACAGCAGCGGTTAACAGGATGGCTGTTCGGTAAAGGAACACCCTGAAAGCCGTAGGAAATATAAGAGAGTAGGGGTGGCAGTAGCTCGGTCTGTAGGGAGTAGGGACTTGGGTTGGGAGCTGGAGGGTCGCCGGTTTAAGTCCTGGTGCAGACCAAAGTATGGGAAGTAGGTCTGGTGGCTGGAGAGGTGCCAGGACTCTACCCGAGTACAGCCAAGGTGCCCACTCCCTGCGTAGCAGTGTGGAGCCACCACCACTCTTAACATCTCTCCAACCAGAATTTTCCTCAGGAATTAATAAAGTATGTAAAATAGAATAGATTAACATATTTAGGTAGAAAAAAAGTATATAGTCCAAAAATCATCTGATGTTACAAACAATGGAGAACTAGCTGTTACATCAAAATTCAGTTGATTTGTCAACACGGTGGTTTGGGTTTCTTTAGGCCGTCTGAACAATGTGAAGGACCCCATAAGGTCTAATAAGATACTTAGATCAGACTGAAAATGTGTCTGCAGCTAGTTTAATGCTTGATCCAATTTATCATTAAAAAAAAAAAAGCCACATATTTCGTGACTGAGGCTTTTAATGGGGAGAATTAGCTCTCATCAACTTTAATGTATTAGACGTTGGAGTTTTAGGCAACTGAAGAAGATTCTGTTTCAGCAGGTTGTAGCAATGTTTCAAAACGGGGGGGAAAAAGCAGGAAATCACTGAACCATTTTATGTATTAAAAGAAAAGACATTCTTAACAAAACAGTCAGCTTACAATTATATTGTTGTGTATTTTGTAACATAACAATGAGTAAGGTCTTTTACCTGCTCTTTTGTAATGTTAACAGACAAAGAGTAAGGTATTTTACCTGCTTTTTGTAAAGTGTCTTGAGATAACACTTGTTATGAGTTGACGCTATACAAATAAAATTGAATTGTATTTTGTAATTGGGGTCAGTGTGTGAAGACAGTAGTGGAAAACAGCTGCATAAAATGTGTTGAATAAAAACAATATTATGTCGGATCAGCATGTGGACCAGTATAGACCTGTTTTTAGCCTCAGCATTTCATGATTCTCATAGTTAAGCTCGTTTGTTTTTGATTGTGAATCATTCTGTAACTCTTTGTGTTTTCCGAGTAGAAGACAGCGATGATGAAAAGGAAGTGAGTCGAAAGCGTACAGTGCGTCAGGCCGCCTCCAAGGCCGTGTCCAAACAGAGAGAGATCCTGCTGGGTGACGGAGGCAGCGAGGACGAGGAGCATGAAGACCAAGAGGAAACTTATGCGGACCGTATGTACAACTGCTCTCAACACTGATCCAACAACACACAGGTTCACTAAATGCAACATATAAGAAATCTCCCAGCAGCCACACAGTACACATTGGTAGGTGATGACATATGGCTAATGTGTTGTTTCTGTATGAACTACTGGAACACAGCCAGCTTCATGTGTTTTAACTTAAAACGTACTCTAGACCAGTGGTACTCAACTCAGAATTCAACACACCCAAATGTTGTCTGCCATGGCCCATACTGGGTGTGCGTATTGTTGTGGAAGTTGTTGTGACTGTTGTAAACAGTGTCGCGCAAGCGTTCCAGTAAAGTATGTTTCATGCACACTTGTCGTTGTAGTAGAAGTTGGCGGTAAACTGGTGTCAATTTCTTTACAAGTATAATGTTCTGCTACGACATACTGTCATCACCTGTTTAAACATGCAGGTTTGGTTTTAGTTCACACACGTGGCAACGCCGATTACTCGATCTGCCAGCTACATTGACATAAAAGTCGCGTAAATGGTGATTTGTGACAGAGAACAGTGCAGATTTAGGACAGTCTTCTGCATGTTCGCTCTGACACTCAAGAGCAGAGCCAGCAGCCTCACACGCTCACTGACCAAAAGGCAAGCGCCTCCTCCTCGTGTCAGAGCGAGTGTCAAAGTTGCCGTGATGGTGAATCCTAGCACAGCAATTGGTTAACTTGCATGTTCTCCTCTCCAAGTTGCGGCAACATTTAGCGAGTGTGGCTTGCAGCACTTACCTTTCAGTCCTTCTCGGGCTATCGTCGGCTATTTGATCTCCATCACGTGTTTGTTTGCTGAATGTGTCTTCCAAATGATGACTCCCCTGTTTTAAGTACAAGATGATGAAAAGAAGCTGGCTGTGGCTCTGACTCGTGGTCAAAGTTCGCTGTAAATACTAAAACACCAAACAGTGTCAAGCACAGAAATTAGTTAGGTATCCCATCACACGGCTTGTTTGAGGGGAAGACAGGAGGGGGTCATAGTGCGTGAATATCTTTTCATAGGCGTGACCTCTTTGAAAACTGTAATACCTGAATCTGAGGTCATATTGCCCCCCCACTACATTGTAGTTATTGAACTAACACAGAAGGTAGACAGTGCACGGCCCTCAAATCAATATTTAAGTCATGCTTTGATTCACAATGACCGGCTCATTTCTGGCAGCTTTCTAACTCAATATTATCAGAGCTATACATTACATTAATGTTTTTTTTAGTATCAATACTTAATAATCTCTATGTGAAATAAAGGCCATCTAACAATCAGTGAGAGGTCATTGTTGCATTTGTTGATCATCAAAGCCATCATGTTTTACACTTCTGAGCATCACGACCTCTACATTAACGCATCCCACACCCGTTTCTGTGTGCAGCTGACGAGTCCGGCAGCGATGAGGACTTCATGGTGGAGGATGATGATGACAGCGACTACGGTCGCTCCAAGAAGAGAGGCAAGAAGGTGATTCGACGGGGACGGCCGGACAAGAAGGAGAAAAAGAGCCCCAAACCCCGACTAAAGGCCACAGGTGAGAAGTCCGACCTCTGACTACAAAGGGAAAATTCTACATGTGCAGATACCCCCAACCTGCATTTCCTTTAGAATCTTCACTTTTTTTTCCCCACTTCTCTAGAGTTTGCTGGACCCACTACGAGCTGAGATTTAGTCAATGTGTATGGGCATACAATGCATCCAACTGTAGGTCACCTTTCAGGCAGGCATGTGTTAAAAGAAGTCTCAAGTGAGGTTGCTTTCAAAAAGAAAAACGTGGCAGTTTTATTTCTTAGATTAAAAAAAAAAACACCATTTAAGATTACAGGGGCTTATGTAGGGGAGCTCCTCTGTGGCGAGCGCTTTCAATCAAAAGATTTTGAAAGGCGACTTTTGCCTTTTATTAGATAGTAGAGGCTAAAGAGAGACAGAAGAAACATTTGGAGGAGAGAAAGAAGGAAGACGTGAGGCAAAGGACCGAGGTCTTATTCAAACCCACGGCTGACACGACGAGGACTTTAGCCTCCGTTCATGGTGCAGGCGCCATAACTGCTAGGCTCTCTGCGCCCCCACTCAAAAGATTTTGTTATTTTCTTTTTCTTGAATCCCTGAACACTGGCTTTAAATACGATATTTGTAATTTACTAGTGAGTAAAGTTTTTCTTTTTCTTCTCGTCCCTCTTAGTAACCCCCAGCCCAATGAAAGGAAAGGGGAAGGGGCGCCCCAGTGCTGCCAAGGCCCTGGAGAAGAGCTCACCCAAAGAGGAGGAGGACGAGGAGCCAGAGAGTCCCCTGGAGGAAGAAGAGGAGGAGGCCGAGAAGAAGGAGACGTCCCCTGCCCCCAAGACGACAAAGGAGGCTGGAGGCGGCGATGAGGAGGAGGAGGAGGAAGAGGAGGAGGACGGCTCAGAAGAGGAGGCACCGTCTGGAGAAGACTAGAAGATGGTACCCACTGAAGCCCATCCTCTGTCTCTCTCTCTCTCTCTCTCTCTCTCTCTGTCTCTTCTCAATGTTTTTATTTTTCTTCTGTTGCTCCACGTTCGAGGTTTTTTATCCCCGTTTTATTTTATTTTTTTCTCCTGGTGGCCTGGCTCAATGGTTTGGACTTGGTGTGCTTCTTCTTGGTCTGCTTCACCCCCTCTCCAACCAAGACATTGTTCTCACGCGATCAAACAGTGTCAGTGAGGATTGTTGTTTTCCTTTTTCAACACCTGAGTCTCAGCATTCAGCCGTACCCAGCCTCCTTTTTTTTTTTCCCATCATCTCCATTCTGCATCATACTGTTAAACCTTTCCACAAACTCAGAGCTCGCAAACATCCATCCTGATGGTGATCAAACCAGTTTTTGCTTTCTCTTTTTCCCTCCTGTGATAATTGAGACAACTGCCAGACTAACATTCTCCTGTTTTATTTTCCTGACGACTACTGAGAGAATTGTCCAGAGCGCCTCAGTATCAGTAACGACCGCGCTGTAAACATAAAGCGACATGAACACACACACACACACACACACACACACACACGGCTTCAGCCTTCACTATTTGGTACTTTATGCTTTTAAACCAGCATCATGTTTTAACAGGGTGACATTAGTTAGATAACTGTTTGAAATCTCTTCTTTCAGATAAAACAATGTCTTTTTATTTAGTTTTTTTTTTTTTTAAAGCTCTCCCTCATTGTTTCATCTTTGTTCCCTGAACTGGTATATTGTGGCTTCGTGGAGAATGAAATAAAGCGTGTTATTTTAAAAGGTAATCCACTAGTAGCTGCTGCTTCGTAGGTCAGTTTGTAAACTTAAAGGTGTGGTCTGTAGATTGTCTGAGTGGCGGTGGCTCACATCTGAGTGCTCATTACAGTTTGAACCGCCACTATCACACCTTTAACAGCCGGCTTGTGTGTTTTTATTTGACTTGTTTAAATGTATATGCTTCAAGTAGGGGTACATCCTGTAAGAGGGCTTGTTTTTTTTTTTCCTTCTCAGCCAATCCGCTGCTTATGTGAAACGGTTTCTGTTGTCATATGTTGGGCTGAAGCACCACTCTTAATGACACTTTCTTTTTTTTTTTAACACACAATCCCCCGCCTTCCTGCATGGCTGCTTCTGAACATTCAATCCCTTGTGCCAGGCACCCCTAAATTTGTCCTTTTTTTTCGTTTTTGTTTTTGATTTTGAAGAAATGCAAGAAGAGATGTTTCTTTTTCTTTCTTTTTTTTTTTCTGTCGAGAGTTAAGAAAATGAATGTTGTTTTTTCTCCTGTTGGTTCATTGTTTTAATTCTCTATTCAGATTTTTTTGTAATGTTTGTTTTTTAAGAAAAGAAATAAAATGTATCTTGATTTTAAAGAAAAAACGTTGACCCTATCCAATCTGTTCTGCCGGATGGTCGGACCAGCCGTCCCCCTCTCTTCTGTCCTTTCATTCATTCCCTCTCCGTCCCTCTCCCGGCCCCATCAGCTTCACGGTTACTGTTGATATCCATCCATCTGTTTCTTGAAGCTTTCTGTTCATCCATTACTGTTTCACAACAGATACGTTGGATTAAAGAGAGATGAAGCTCTGATGCTCAGAAACGAGTTGACAAAAGAAACAAAGTGGGCAGCTCGGTAAATAAGCAGCATTCATTTGTCTTTAAAGCCTTAATTTTTGAGTTCAGCTTCAGTAGTGGTTTTGGAAATGTCGTTGGAGGCCCGAGAATGTATCCTGTCCTCATGTTTTAAATATTTGCTGCGAGCAGCAGAGTAGACTTAACACAAGTCAACAATTTATACGATCAGCAGAACATCCAAAGCCATAAACGATCTCAAAACTAGTGACTCAGACATCAGGTGCAGCACTTGTGAGATTGTCCTTTTTTGCAAAGAGTAGTATTTTGATGTCAAATAAAAATAAAACAAAAGAAAGAAAAGGGTTGCTATTGTGATCTTGGGAATATTATTCTAAGGTGTTGGTCAGGATAAAGGCGAGATCTGATCTGTCCCAAGGCTGCAGTTCAAATCAGTCCTGGATGTGAACAGGACACACTGGAACCTGTACTTGGTTCAGAAGCACATTGAATTGTTTTACAAATGTCCTTAATAGCAGGTTAGTTTTTCTACCTTCAGATCCTGAATTGGCAACCAATCCTCCCAGTCATTTTAAGATGATTGATATAAATAAGGGTAAAAAGTGTGTTTCTACTAACCTTCAGTTCAGAGAACTTTGAATGCAGTAGTATTTAAAAAAAAGTGTCCTGTAGTTCACAGCATGGAGGGCTTGAACGAGGGTCCTCTCCATCATCTCACAGGAGGCACATGGCATTGTGGATTTCTCCTCTTAACATCCATCCTTCAAACTCTTCAGTTGTACTGTTTTTTGATGTGTTTTTTTTTCTATCTACCTTCAGTTGTACTGGCCATGTAAATGTAAGCCAAGTTGTGATTTTACAGGAGACCAAGAGGAGAAGCTTTTGTCAGTAGTGTGAAAAAGGAACGCTGAACTCTTGAACCTTTTTGCATGTTGTGGAAAAAAAGTGCAAAGCGATGATGATGATGATGAAATGATGCTGGTGATGGCAATATTGTGGTCTAACAAAAAAAAGTATTAACAACAATGATGTTGATAATGTTTTGGTTTCCCAGCTTCTAATAAAGGCAACCTACTTTTTATACGGATTTAACTACTTGTTTTGTGACATTAAGCTCTTTGTAATGTGCCGGTAGCTTCTCTGGTTTAGAACGAGCAGAAGTTCACCGTGGCTGCCACTAAGGGGCGCTGTGTGCAACAACAGCATATTAATCTGATGAACAGGCTGCTGCTGCTTCCATCTTCATATGAAAACTGCACTGCAGAATCAGTTCACTTGAGAAATGAGACAAATACATTAAAATGAAAGGGTCTGACCAATAAACAGTTGCATTGTGGTTAATGTAGGCAACTGGTTTGAAAATGAGGAAAACCTCTGATTCTGTTTCTTGTTTCCCAACAAAAAATAAGTTAACATTAAAAGTAAAAGAGGTAATAGAATTCAATCAGTGTGTAATGATCCAAACACAAACAAAATATAGTTAATAAAATGTAATTGGTCTATTTGGTGAAGATAATAAAGCATATAACAGCTCAAAAAAACATTAATTATAGCTGAAGATTGTTGTGTGTCTGCAAGAATAGCCGTCACGCCATAATAGACAACAGTACTTATTTCTTTAAATGAGCAAACAGGCCGTTTCCTCATTTTAAAAAATTTCTCAGGCATGTTTAGCCCTTTGAGTGTTGATCTTCTTTTAATTGAAAGTTCAGCGTGGATTCGCCAGCTCCTTTTGTCACATGTTGAATTGTCCTTGGGCAAAACATTGAACCCCAAATTGTTCCTTGCTGCTTTGTCAGTGGCTAAGATTAGTTAATACTGATGTCTACCTTTTATAGCTGCCTCTGCCCTCAATGTGTAAATAGGTGAACGTGACGTGTGGTGTAAAAAGAGCTTTGAGTAGTCAGAAGGCTATAAAAGCTCCAGTCCATTTCCCATTTCATTTAAGACTATGCATACCAACAATATCAAGCATTGGAAGCCAAATGACCTTAAACTTGAATGTATAAGTCTATGATTATGGCATGTTTCTTAATTGTATGTTTGACGTTTTAATTCAGCAGCAGAATTGGATGTTTGAAGAGTTACTGCTCCCAAGAGGCAAAAGGAGGAACAAATACATTGAAGTGTACGACAACGAAACTGATTAAATGGATTAGCTTTCGGTCCATTGATTGCAATGACTCAAATTGCCTGACACAAATGGACGCTAACAGTGACCTGTGCTCTACTGGCCGGCAATTGATTCCTGTTTCACACGTTTAAATTCTCAACACATCACCGAGGAGGTCATGATGGATAGAATGATACATGTGGAATTTAAACTCCCTCAACCTGCTGTCAACATGTTTGATCATCTTACACACGGCTCCAGTTGTGATATCATTTCTCAATTTGGTCAATATACTCTGGAATAAAGGTGATTTTATTTTATTTTGTATAACAGTGAGAAATAGATTGATGAGGCCGATGAAGAACTCTTCTACTGTGTTGAAACAAACATTTTTTTAAGGTGTTCGCGCATCAAACTATCTCATGAGGGAGGTGCGTAGTGCGGCAGAACTATTACTTGAAAAGAAAAACTCCTGCACACTACTCTTGTGAAGTATCACAAATTTATTAGAAAAATCACAACACTTCGGTCCCTCTGACAGAGCAGTGTGCAGGATTCTTTTCTTTCAAGTAACTGTGTTGAAACAGCAATGACCAGCGACGTTTAGCCTTCACGCTAACAGGAGATTTCTGTTCTTTATCTAGCAGTGCTGGCTTTATTTGTGAAGGCATGAATGGGTCCCCTCTGTGCTTCATCTCACAAGTTGTGCACGTGTGAACCGACTCTTCATCACTTCAATTGTCACTTCACTCCCAAGTATTGCTCACATGCTAAGCTAAGTGATAGCTAAGGTCATCCTCCGACGGAGAGATGTCCTGAAACCAGACAGCCGGCAACATGGCCGTCTGCTGACAACGAGAAAGTGAGCAGATCTGATTTTATTCATCACCATCTGCTCTCAGTCCCAACACAGTCAGAGCAACACTGACTTTCATTTGTTCAAATATAAAATACTTTATATTGTATGAGTATGATATCATGATAACGAAGAGACGAGATGATGACACGAGATTCAACTTTATTGTCTTTACACATATACAAGTATAGAGTAACAAAATGAGGTTTGGCATCTCACCAGAAGTGCAAATAAGCAGAAAGTGCAAGAGTCTGTGCTATGTACAGTAATTACAAAATTTACAGATGTAGACTAAAAAAGAAAAAGTGAATTATTAGGTATATATGGATGGATTAATGGGATGCTATAAATATAAGTATATCCTTAGGATTATAATATACAGATGAAGGTGCAGATGAAGGTGCTTAAAGACAGCACAAACTAAGAGAGAAGCTAAAGGGGAACGAAATGTTGGAAAATCCCCTTTAGTGCCTGGACGTTGTTCATGTTAAACACTTCATCATGCTGTCTTGGAGGTGTGCATTTCTACATCCTCTCTTCTTCTTTTTTTTTATGAGTGTAGGCATGGGGGAGCGTTCCATTACTGTGGTGCTTGGTAAGTATAAACCATAGTATTTTAAAAGGCATGACATGCTGCTGCACGATGGAAGACAACAATTAATGCACCGTTGTCTCACTTTCCAGAACTCAAAGCAGCCATGTTGGCCCTTCACTTAATGCATTAAGTTTACACGTTCTCCCCATTTTCATGATTTTGTGACTTCTTCAAAAAATAGGAACTTAGCTTTATGTCGAGCAGGTTGTCTGCTGAGGAGAGCCTGAACTCCAGTGGATGAATGAAAGGCAAACTCACAGTACTTCAGATAAAATGTTTCCAACTTACAGATATAATAAAATAAAAGATTAATTCATCCATTCATTTATTATTTCATTCCTAAAGTGCTCATGTTTTTGATTTATCACTGAAATGTGACTTTGAAATTGTGGGAAAAGTAAAATAAGACGTACTTTATTTTCCACCAGAGGAAACTTGTTTTGGATTCTTGTCCTGCAGTTGCAAAAGAATTAAAAACATAAATCCAAAAACATGTCACAATTCCACATATGCATAAAAACACTGCAGCAGGGACATATTGACATATCGACGGCCCCTTGGCACATCTTACATTACCTCTTCATTTCAGGACATCGGCACAGATGAATGTTTATAGCGGTTCAGCCTGGCCTGAGGGACCCTCGTTCTTCTGAAAGAGGGGAGACTGTGGGTCGGGTCAGACACTTTTTTCTGTACCTGTCTAACAACAGACTGTTCAGTGTTTTGACTGAACTGAACTAGAAGAAGCAACCTTCTCATTTATAATCAACAACTTCTGAATTTGACCGCCTCTTAGTGACTGCTGGTCACAGATTGAATAAGGTCATTGAGTCACTCATGTAGGTTAAACAGCAATGTACCTGAGCCACCATAGGCTAATGCTCATTCCAAGTAAGGACTGAGTGGATTGAATAAAGAAAAGTTGCATATTATACAGGGCACTGCTGTCACTGGTTTGCTGGGTTAATGTAAAACCATGAAGGATTTTCAGTTCATGCCCTGATGACCAGTCCAGGGTGAGACACACCTCTCTTGACTAA